TTTGTTAGAATTTTTAATATGTCTAGCAAAAAGAACCAAAGTTATTTACAAAATAATATTAAGACATGTCAGTTTACATTTTAAGCTAGGATTTTATATAAGCTTACTTTGATTGTCTTCGACTTTTGTGTTTGTTTTGTGGTGGATGGTGATAGTCGCATCACAGGGGCGGATCCAGCGTNNNNGGGGTGGGGGGGGGGGGGAGGCATTAGGGCCCGTGCCCGCGTCCCCCGTCAGTCAAGCCAAAATATAAAAAAAAAGAGTGAAAAAAGTTAAAAAGAGGAAAAAGGAATGTACCCATGAGTTCAGTGGCGATCCAGCATTGGGGTGAAAGGAGAGCTCGATCATTTGCCACTTTTAAGTGTACAGTTTTTTTGAGTATTTTAAAATCCTTAAGTTAAATTTATTTTTTTTTAAAGTTTTTTTTTTTACTTTCAACGAAAAATAAATGCGATCGTTAATTTCAAACTTGGTACAATGTAGACCTGTCATCATATGACTACTTATACAGAATTTTACTGTATTATAGGCCTAGCCTAGGACCAGGCTTCCTACTATAGTTTAGGCTATAGAGGCCTAGTCCAAGACCTTGTTGCAAATCCCAGCCCACATGATAGGCCTAGCCTAGTTAATGCCTAGTAGCAAAAGGCTCGTGATCGCGGTACCCCGACCATTAAAAATTAGCACACGCACTGGAATGCAGCGAAAATTGATTCCCCATCATTAATGGAACAAGCCCACGTCATGCTTGGCTGATTAGTTTTGTTTTACATTTCGCATGTCTAGTTAAAATTTATTTCAAACCATCCATGTTTGGCTGGTTTTTGATTTACGTTTTGAAATAGAATTTGGAGAGGGCGTTTTATCAAGTCAGACCTACGTTTTGAATTTGAATTACATTGTAAAGAAATTAGAACTACATTTTGGAAAATTTGAACTACGTTTTTAAAAATTAGAACTTCATTTTGGGAAACTAGATCTACATTTTGAGAAATTTACGCCTAAGTTTTAATAAATTAGACATTCAATTTTGCAATTACATTTTGATTTAAACATGGACTTTTGCTGCGTATGGCATACCCCTCAACTGATCATCGAGTCCCCACTTCACCTTTCCCCCTCTCAGCCCTTACACATCTAGATGTGTATACCACTTCACTTTCGCACCCCATCAGCCTCCCCCCCCCCATTTAAAGACATCTAGATACGCCACTGACTTACATGGCCAGATGAATACCATGCCCTCACGATGTCACCGGGGACGCGACTGCCAAAATCTATTTTTGGCAGCGAAGGGTCGCTACCAATAAACATTCAACAAACTACCATGGTTTCCGGGTTGATTTGAAAGGTACTACATGGCTGAACTATTTTTTACTTTAGGGTTAAGTGGTGAAATTCGCACACATATCATACGACGTCACTGACAACGCCGGGGACGGCAACTCGATTTTGAGATAAATTTTTTGAATAAAGTAATACTAAATAACTTTTTTAATGACGAGCTATTGTCTTCAGTTGTCTTTGTTGGTCATTCAACTGTCATTTTATCTATCTTTTTTTCGGTGATATTACCATTCTCAATAATCTATAATACACTCACATAACAACGTCACGTTAGATCGATCGCTAGGGACGCCTTGGTGACGCCGGTACGTCAATTTTCGTCGGAAAGTACCAAGATGATGAACAGTTTCATTGGACTAAATTCTTGCTTATGTTAGCCTCCAGCTTATCTAAGATTATACTGACACTGCTTTCAAATGAAATAACTGACAACTTTGGTTTGTATCAATGTTTTAATAAGTACATAAAACTATGTCACAAATACGTATGCAAAAATACACAGGGACACCACGCTGTTTTTTATTTCTCTTGAAATCTGTATGCCTGATCACCATCATCATACACAGTATAATAGATTCAAGTAAGATGTTTCAAATGATATTAAAATGTATGTATGTATGTATGCCTTTGGAACATTTTTTTTTTTTCGAGTTTTATTTACCTTAACGTCGACTCTGCTTTAGAAAGCACCAGGATTAATCACACAACAGTATCTCTGTTGAAAAAAAAAATCACGGTCAAGTAGTTAAAAATCACCTAAAATCACCTTATTTTGGAATTATCGCCCCTCAACTGATCATTGAGCCCCCACTTCTTCTTTGCGTCCCCCCCCCCGCCCCCCCCCCTCCAA